AGGCTGGGCGCGGCTGCCCTGGTGGCCCTGCCTCCCAGTGCCCGGCTACCCTGGAGTGGAGCCGGGGTGAGCCTGAGTGTTGTGCTGGGCGTGAGCCCCACCTGAGTGGAGGGAGGATGCAGGGGGCGCGGGGAGCACGATTCTGTAGGGTGGGGAACCGACGTCCCTCTTGCCCACCGCGAATCCGCAGACACCCCTCCTCCAAGTCCTCCCTGCAAGCCTGCATCTGGGCCAGGCCTTCTCTTCCCTGTGGTTTTTAGGCTGGAAGGACTGCACTCAAGCACCTTGTCCAAGGAACTGAGTTACTGTGTGGCCCTCTTGGCCCGGACAGTCAGCTGTAGACAAGGCCCCTCCTCAGCCTCCATGACTCTGTTTTCTTTTGGGGGTGTCATACAGTTTCAGCAGCACAGTTCCTGTTGGAGGCAGGCTCTGGGTTGAATGTGGGAACGCCACCAGCACCCACACTTAGAGGGACACAGGTCAAGGTTGTCACTTCCACGTTTGTAGAAAAGAAATATAACAATGTCAAGACCCGGCTTATCAGCTTATATGTGTTCTGAAACACTTACAAAAGCCTTGGAAGGTGGGATTGTATTTGCCCATTTTATAGGAAAGACACAGAGTGATCCCCCAGCCTCAAGGTCACACAACCACAATTCGAATCTACTTGTGTTGCTCTGATGGGACTCATCTCCGGCTGAGAGGGAAACGGCCTGGGGAACAAACCTGTCCCACTATCAGCTCAGACCCATTGGTTCTCCACTCAGTAGCGCTCTGGGGCTCACCCCACACACACTGGCTTCTGATGCAGCCCTGGTGTGTGCCTGGCAAAAGTAGGGATGCCATTTCTTCTGTCTGTAACCTCCTCCCGATCTACTTAAAACAAAACCGAACTCTTCCGTCTTTAAAGTCAAATAACCACCAGTTGGTACTTTGGCTGTCGTATGCCCGCTAGCCCTCTTGGCATAAGGAATGGCAAGAAGGCCCACTGTGTGCCAGAGATGTCTGTACACTGCTGGCTACACCTTCCTCGAGGACGTCAATTGCTCCTCATTCTTTTCAAAGCTTACCTTTAAAACCTGGATGGGCACATGTGTGTCTACAATCATAGGATCTTTGTTACACCTAGGGAGCATGCTAAGGCCAACACCTCAGAACTGAGAATGTAAATGTAAAGAGAACTTGGAAAGCAAACTTTGAGCCGTACACAGGGTAGGGAATGAAGAGTAATTTGGAGAATGGATTTGCATAGTGGAAGAACAGGAAGGCTATTTCTGAGGCGGAAGTGGGGTGAGCCCAGAACACCTGTCTTGACTAGAAGGGTGTGTGCTGCATATAGAGATGAGCTAGGTGGAAGGGCTGCAGATTGCAGAAGATAGCAAAGCAAGCAAGAGTTACTGTTATTGTGAGGGAAATACACGGAGTAAATTAAATTTGGACTAGAACCTACTGTAGTGAAATCATCTGCTCTATCCAGAAGAGAACACCCTGCCATTGACAGAATAGCAGGAGCTTTAGCAGAAGCCCCCTACTTCAACCAAGCACAGGATTCCTCACCCTGCAGGGCAGACAGAGAGACAGATGAAAACGAAAAGCTAGGTTGTCATAAAATGTTCAAGACTATCTTGCTTAAAAACCACCTAAGTTCAAAGTGTGTTTAAAATTGCTGATGTGTGAACAGACACCCTCCTTCATCATGTGTGTAAGAGGACAGGGTCAGTAATTCAGGGCAGCCTGCTGGAATCCAGCCAAGCTCTGGCCTGGAGGCAGGAGCCCTGTCTGCTTTTTTGAGCCATGGCTTTGCCACCAAATTCTGTGACCTCAAGGAGTGGACTTAACCTCCCCTCTGGATTTCAGGACCACAATCTCTGTAAAGTGCATCTCTAAAGCTCATTCTTATTATGGCATTATTCTGTTCCGTAGAGAAAACAACCACTTCATTGTTAGTGAAAATAATCAATGATCTTTCGTTGTTTGTTTTTTATGAGTTACATGTGCAGGGCAGATATGGGAATGAGAGGCTTTTCAGCTTTTTGAATGTTGAGCACTGGAAGAATAGAGAGTGACAGGCTAGAGTGATGGCTCAGTTGATACAGGCCTTCATGTACAAGCATGAGGGCCTGAGTTTGATCCCCAGAACCTATGTTAAGCCATACCAAGTCTGGGAAGATATCTGACTTGGCGGGTAAGAGGGTTTGCTGCCCAAGCATGAGGACCTGGGTCCAAGTCCCTGGGACCTACATAAAAAAGCAAGCCTGGGTGCAAGAGGGTGTAATCCCAGTGCTGGAGCAAGGTGGTAAGGAGACAGTGTGATTGCTGGGACTTGCTGACTGGCAGCCTAGCTCCAGGTTCACAGAGAGATGTTCACCTTGAGGAACTAAGGTAGAGAATGATAGAACAGGATACCTGAAATCTAGTTTACACATGAGTGCACACAGACTTGTGCACTGGTACACACACACACACACACACACACACACACACACACACACACAAAAACACAAGGCTTCACAGCTCCCTGGCCAGACAGTCTAGGTTACTTGGGTTCTAGCCCAATGAGGGACCCTGTCTCTAAGAAAGAAAAGAGGTAGATGGTGCCTAATGAATGATGCCTGAGGTTTTCTCTGGCCTCTACATTCACCTGTGTGCATGTGCTCTCTCTCTCTCTCTCTCTCTCTCTCTCTCTCTCTCACATACACACACACACACACACACACACACACACACACACACACACACCACAACACCCAGACACACAGAGCAGAGGCAGTGGGTATAATGGTTTAGACTGGCTCTGGAATAAGTTGACTTGGGGTCATATTCCAGTCCAGAACCTCCTGCAGAACATGATGTCCCTGAACCTCAGTGACTTCATCTATTGAATGGGATAATAGGAATGTGTTTACCGAACTGTGAGAATTGCAAGAGTGATACCACATGATGCTGACTTCATAGTAAGTCTCTGTGAAGAAAGGGTAGCTAATGCTGTTTGCAGAGTTTCACAGAGCTCCTGTGTCCACATTCAAGGATTTTCTTTCATCACCGTTTCTGGGAGCTCCCCATGCTGCATGTGGCTTACAAACCACTGGCTATAATGTGTTTAGCTTTAAAAGGCAGTCACTGTTTTCCTGTGAAGTAGGGTATTTGGTTACACCCATAGGAGGAGGGACCTTCCCAGAGCCATCATGGAAGCAATGTTTGTAGGCACTGAAGGTTCTGGAGATTTCTATCTTGCTGACTTCATCTGTGTTGGCACAGCATGCCTTCAGGGGACTTGCCCCTTTCTGTTCCTCCTCATCTCAACTCCTCCATCCCTTTCTCCTTCCCCACCCTAAAGTGTGTAGGATGAGATCAGGACTGTGGAGGAGGAGCCAGACAAATTTCTTCCAGGCATCCAGCTGTGCCAGGATGCCTCCAGACAGACAGCCTCATATTTGTGTGGACTAAATTACAAGGTGGAGTTCCGAGAGCCTGTAACCTTCTTGGTTTCCCACATTTCAGCCCGAGTGCCTAAATGAAAAGCCCCTGGGAATGTCAACTTCTTCTCCTCTGCACTGCAATGATAAAGTCCCCAGAAACCAAGCCACAGGTCCCCAAGGCTTTAGAGAGCCAGTGGTGCAATGCTACTTTGTAATTCTCCTGTGGACAGCCAGGACCACCCATCTCTCAATGCAACCTATTAGCAAACCCTTTTTGGCTTTTCCTTCACATTTTACCCAGCATCCCCCACTTCGCCTGAGCTGTTGTACCACTGATGTCCAAGCTGCTCACAACTGGGTGGCTGAACAACGTCTTTCTGGTTAAGGGCATGATGTCCTACTGTCTGTGTTCAAGAGGTCAGCACACATCTACACTAAAATACAAGTCACATTACCTGAGTTTTTATTGTTCATACTGCATCACACTAAATTCGTTGTATACATGTATAAAATTCTCACATAATAAATAAATATACTTTTAAGGGAGGAAGCTAGGTGAGCAGCAGTATTCATCTCTGCCTGCTTCCTGATTGTGGATACAATGTGACCAGCTGCCATCATGACTTCCCTAGACCCTTACACTATAGACCAAATTGAACCCTCCTACCTTAAGGTGCTCCTGTCAGCTATTCGAGCATGGCAACAATAATAACAAAGCCCAAACAATACAAAGGGATTCCTCTGGGAAACATTGGACTAAATAGCCAAACACATGAGATACAGGACCAACCTATACAAATCTGGGGACTGCAGAGATGGCTCGGCAATAAGAACATATACTGCTCTTACAGAGGACCTGAGCTCAGTTCCCAGCACCCATACTGGATGGCTCACAACTGTTTGTAGCTCCAGCTCCAGTGAGAGCCAATGACACTGGCATCTGGAACACCTGCACTTATGTGCATATACTCTCACACGGATACATATAATTTAAAATAAGAAAAATCTTTAACTGGGTGTGGTGGCG